GGGAGAGGGGGTTGAGGGGGGTGTCGGTAGAATTCGGACATTTTTTTCATACCTGCGAAAATTAGAAGACATTTTCCAACCCTTAAACGGCAATACTTTTTTTATCACAAAAGCCGTAAAATTACCTTGAAAAACTTAACACCGCCAATTTGTTTTCGTATGGTAAAATTTCCTTTGAATTTTGAAACACGTGGTCGTCGAGGAGCGTCAGATTGTCTGGCTGAAATGTGAAGGCTCCAGAAATCCTAGCCATTCGTTGCAGTTCTTCTCCAAGATTTCAGAAAATTTTCGTTGCACAAAAAATGTCTCAGCGACTGGGCGGCGCCTTTTTTTCAAGATGTCGGCTTGTCTTTCAATTTTCCTTTTCACTTCCCGACATATCGTTTTGGCTGATAGTTTTACTGCTACCGTTTAGTTTTCGTACAGAAAAATTTCCACTTCCCATTGTTGGCAAATTCCAGTCGTAAAACTTTTGGGGCGTCGAGTTTGAAACGAAAAAATTTCATTCGCTAAATTTTTGGGGGCGTCGAGTTTAAAATGAAAAAATTTACTTCGCTAAACTTTTGGGGCGTCGAGTTTGAAACGAAAAAATTTTAACCGTAATACTTTCGGGACTCACCCCCCCCCCCCCCTCATCGTTTTTAGGCGGCTGTTGTTGATTTCTTCATGGCGTGTGTGCTGTTGATAGTTTGTTCTTCTGGTTTCTCGCTGTGGATCTCAATTCGACCAGCTCCTCTCCGCAGTTTACGCACTTGGCTGGTACCGTTGGAGGTTTTTTGCCGTCCTTTGTTAGATGTTCTCCGGCACATTTTAAGCAGGCCGGCCTGGCGTAACAGTTAGTTGCGGCATGGCCCCATGCCTGGCATCTGTGGCACTGAGAGATTCTTCTCTTGTTTATGAAGTTATCCCACGTGATTTTCGTATATCCTAGATAGCTTATTTCTTGTTGTATTTGCTTGAGTTTGATGCTTTCGTTAAATGTAATCATGAACATTGGCTGTTTTGTGTTTTTCATTGGGTTTATATTGTGCACCTTGTAATTGAGAGACTCAAGTTCGGTTTTTAAATCTTGCAAATCTGTGTTTTTATGCAATCCTCTTATTACGAAGGTGCACATTTTAGCTTGTTTATTGGTGTATGTATGAAACTGGTATTCGTTCCTTTCCCAAATGCTTTTCAATTTTTCAAACTCTGCTTTATTCGATGTAAACACTTCT